CCGAATAGCCAAACTTCTTTTCTACATATTAGTTATCATTCACTGGAACGCCTGCATCTATTTCTCTGTGAGCTACTACATCGGTTTCGGGTCCGATAGTTGGGTTTACAAGAACGTGAGTGAAACCAAATACAGCACATTTCGTCACCAGTACATCTACTGTTTCTATTGGTCCACACTGACGCTGACAACCATTGGGGAGGTCCCTGTTCCAGAAAAAGATATTGAATATCTTTTTGTCGTTATCGACTTGTTGGTCGGTGTTCTCATCTTCGCCACGATCGTCGGCAATGTTGGCAATATGATTACCAATATGAATGCTGCCCGGGCAGCATTCCAGAACCGAATGGACAGCATCAAACAATATATGGAGTTAAGAAAAGTCTCCAAGGATCTGGAGAACCGCGTTATCAAGTGGTTTGACTACTTGTGGACCAACAAACAGTCGCTGGACGAAGAAGCCATCACGTCCATGCTGCCGGACAAGCTCAAAGCTGAAATTGCCATCCACGTTCACCTTGCCACTTTAAAGCAGGTCAAACTGTTTCAAGACTGTGAACCGGGACTTCTTGTTCAACTAGTCTTGAAACTTCGGTTACAGGTGTTCAGTCCAGGAGACTATATTTGTCGCAAGGGAGACGTGGGTAAAGAGATGTACATTGTAAAGCGAGGTAAATTACATGTGGTCGGTGACGACGGAAAGACTGTGTTTGCCACACTTAGCGATGGAAGTGTGTTTGGTGAACTGAGTATTTTAAACATAACCGGTGTGAAAACAGGAAACAGGAGGACGGCCAATGTCCGCAGCGTCGGCTACTCAGACCTGTTCTGTTTGTCGAAGGAGGGCCTCTGGAACGTGCTTGAAGAATACCCGGAAGCTCAGAAACTACTGATTGAGCGGGGTAGGCAAATTCTCTTGAAAGATGGGCTCCTGGATCAGGATGCTTTGAAAGCTGAGCAGCTAGAACAGAAAAATTTCCATAAACGGTGCTCACAGCTGGAGGAAGGGTTGAACAATCTTCAAACTCGGTTCGCTCGCCTTCTCGCTGAATACGCCACCTACCAGCAAAAAGTGAAACGTCGAATTAGTCGTCTAGAAAAGCTAATCTATTCTAAAAGTAAAGACAGCGACGACGACGACCATGAAGAAGGTCGTTTATCTAGTGGCAGAAACAGCCACAACGGTGATGCTCAAGAAAAAAGCCACAGTTTGTGTGTTGAGCCATACGTGTATCTTTGTGAAAGTCGAATAACACGTTGCAAACTTAGTCGCGATAATAGTGAATCTGATGTGATAAACGACAGTCGTAGCGATGATGAGATAAATTCGCAAAATGCTCACGAGAGCCCTGATATCCAGATGAAGGGTGAAAACCAATTCCGCGAAACTGGTCGTCATGAAAACGAAGGTCTCTCCATCGATATACACGTTGAAAACATTCATAATAATCAAACAGGACAAGAAGCAACGCAAAATAACGACGTCCAAACAAGTAGAACAACAAAGGACGAACAGATATGAACCATAACAAACGACGCAGTTTAACAATTAAATAAGGAAGCAACGCGAAACAATGATGACCAAATAAATAGGAAACCAAAACGAAGCAGAATAACAAAGCTAAACCAAAAGTATAACAAGCGTTATCTGTGGATGCACAACTTCAGTCATTAGATACTTTATTTCTTCTAAGACAAAATAGGTATATAATTTTGATAGGAAAATAAATAAATAAATAAATACAAACACAGTCATGTCTCTACTTCTTAGTGTCTTCTCTTACCAGAAGGAGCTACTAATAGTAAACAAGCACAATATTACTAATAATAAAGTTAGTGCCATAAACAAGAAGCCAATACTAAAGTTGGTCAGTACTTAGTCAAACAAAAGAGTACTAGCATTGAGAACGAGGTCAGTATGCAACAGTCAAGTCTTTTATTACTGAAGCTGTAGATAATCAATTTATACGAAGAGCTAACATTGTTAACTACAGTACTGTATCAAGTTACTACTGTGACAAACAACAAAGGATACAGTACTGTAATTAACAATGAAGTTACTACTGTGACAAACAACAAAGGATACAGTTCTGTAGTAAAAAATGAAGTTACTACTGTGACAAACAACAAAGGACACAGTACTGTAATTAACAATGAAGTTACTACTGTGACAAACAACAAAAGATACAGTACTATAATTAACAATGAAGTTAGTACCGGAGCTAAATAGTAAATAATTGTCAAACTTTTAAATATTGTTTACAATGATCAATAAATAATCAATTTGTATATAATGTTTATAGTAACCAATATATACTAAAATATTTGTATGCTGTTTACAGCGGACAGTGAATAATCAATTTGTATACAAGGTTTACGGAAATCAGTAAATAATTAAGTTTCACGAGTTGTTTGCAGTGCCAATGAATAATCAAATTTTTATATATAGTTTATAGTAAATACATACTGTTTACAGTGACAATGAGTGAATATCGTTTCGAGTTTCTAGGCTTAATTTTATTTTTTCAACTTTCACTTTAAACCTATATTACAATAACTGGTGACTCGACACTGCAAGTAAAAATCACCACAGTAAATCTGTATCAAGCCCTAGCTTGCTTGAAACCATATTGAGTTTCAAGATCTTCCAGCACTTCCCAGAATGTCAAGTCCCCTACATCAGAATATTAAACTCATTAACCAAAAAAGAAAATCAGAAGTCGTGAAATGTGATTAACGTTTTATCTAGTACTGACCACATACACTAGCCCTAATCACGAGTAATCGCCTAAGCCTAGTACACAGCTGAGTACATCCTGTTCTAAGTAAAGGATACCTATTATAAAATTATTGTAGATTTAACCCTTCAGTAACTTAGAAAACGAATGTGACTCTAGTCAGGTATATTCAAATAATGTTTAATATTTTCACACTACATTTATTTATCTTCTTGCACCCATATTCAGCTCTACCAGCTATTAACTTGTTCACCGATGGAAAAGGTTGAGAAAGAACTTTTCTTACAATCCACTTCAAAACTTACCCCCAAAAAGTCCATTTATCCTTTTAGATTCACCTTTTTTTTCTCTTTAGTTTCTAAATGTCCCCCTTTCCCAAAATATGGTAGTAATAATATATTTAATTATCGAGAATCTACAAAACCACGACAACCAAAACTGAAAACTTTATTGAAACTAAAACCAACAACAAAATGCATAAAAAAGGTACGTATTATTCCCCATAATTTCTTGTTTAATTTACCCACTTTTTTACATTACCCCTTTCCTGGGTTTGCACTGAGAAGAATTTTGCTACTTTTTGACTGTTTATTTCTCCTAATCTAAATCAGCTATGAAGTTATTGTTTTCAGTCCAGAAAGATAATAATAGTAGCATTCCAGCATTTGGAACAACTTTAGTAATACTCCGTGCTTGGCCCAAGGTTCGGTCCTTCGACAATGTTCCTGCGTCTTTCTAAATTGGGTTTATTTGTAGCTAAGCACAAAGCTACACAATGGGTTAGTTGTGCTGTGCCCACCACGGGTATCAAAACCCGGTTTTTAGCGTTATAAATCCGCAGACTAACCACTGTAATACCGGGGGGGGGGGGTTCAAAAGATGTTATTTATGTAGCGCAAAGCTACACATTGGCTAACTACGCTTTCTCCCAGCAGCTGGCCTAACATTTTGTCACAGTAAACTTTAACTTTAACTTGCAATTCAAATCTTATTTCTAAGTAAATAGATAGACTTATAGTAGTATGTATGAATCAGTATAACAATACTTAATACATTACATGTGTAATCTGTAAGTGTACATTCTTGTGCTTGCTTATAGCTATGGTGAGTATAAGTGCCAATGAGAACCTATTTTTATGAATTATAAAGAAGTTCTTTCAATAAATTACAGTAAAATTAGAACAAAATTCAATCTCAGAGCATCAAATTTTCAAAATCTTCCTATGGGATGCCCCCAGACCCCCAGCCTCTAACACTGGCATGCTTTGCACACTATTCTGCATTGCCTGATCAATCAAAAAAAGCTTCCTCCACCCCTGGTCAATTTCGAAATTCTCTCCCACGCTTGCTCAATATAATAGTGTTGCGTCAGCGAGGTCACGTGACTAGTATCACGCCACGTGCTTCTCGAACCTTCATGAATTATCGGGAGACTACTAGATTTAGGGTAGCTGGTATATATATAAGACGCTCACAACGTGACGGAACAAGGTAATGAGTAATTGAATGTATGCGGACAGAATATTGTTGGCCACGTGAGACGTGAGTTATAGCGTTGTTATAGAGCGACTGTTGATATTAAGTGTATCGTAAAGTTGTATTCGGAAAGAATAAACCAGTTTTATTTAAGAAAGGACTTGTGTCGCTAAAGTTTCGTCGGAACGAATTTACGGAAAATTAATAAACGAACGGAGACGTAACAATAGAATATATAAGTAGAAGTTTAGTAAGTATAGTTATTATAAACAGGAATAGCCACGCGTATAATTGTGTATTTTACTATTCTTCACAGATATTTATTCAAACATAGTTTTCACTACATTATCAATGTACATCACTGTCTCGATATTCGTGTGCACAATTTTATCTTGGAGGAGGCCAGGTCTGGATAAATCAAATGGCTAAAGGCCGAAACTTGTGAGGCAAATTCTAACATTCATATCTTAGAAAGTTTGAGTTTTATTCGTGAGTTTCCGCTGTTAGCAAAATAGTCATTTGAATGTTACCAAAGAAATGAATAACTTATTTTAAAAATATGTGTTCTGGACGTTATATTTATTTTTACCAAATAATCGGAAAGAAGCAACAGAATCAATGAAGAAATAAAACTCAACAAAAATATGTAGTTCATTAACAAATAACAAAACATTATTCTTTTAAAGCAGGCCATTTTGTTTTTTCAATTATAATATCAAAATGTTTAATGGCCGAATTAAAGCACTTAGTCATGTGTATGTTGTGAGCTACTGGGTATACATTTTCTGGGTTCAGTGCTTCCAATAATTTTTATAAATCTTTAGATGGAAAGCGTAAAGTTTGAATCCATGTAATAAGTGAAAGCAACAAAATTCAGATAATAGTGGACCTTTTAAACTTTTTAGAATATTAGGGTGGTCGTTTTTGTCCCCATGCATTAACTAAGCCTTTGGAACGAACTGCATCTAAATATAGAACAGGCGACGTAATTATCATTATAATTGCTTCTTCTTTCTCCTAAATATTTGTGCTCATGCATTATTTAACTTAAGTTTAACACTACTAGAGGGCAATGCAGTCCATTTAAAGCGTCTCTCTGTTACAGTTAGTGTCAGGGCGTGTTTTGATTTTTTTTTTATCAAATCTAATATGTTAATTATTTTAACATAGGCAAGATATATAGAAAGTGTTTAATTAAGTGATTCGGTCGGAATCTTTCGACTGCCGCCTAATTAGTACTTAAGTTATAACGACTTGTTTGCATTCGTTTGAATATTGGAAACTATTAAATTTTAAACTATGTATTACTAGTATTATCGCTCCGTATTGGTATTTGCACTGTTTTATCAATATTATTATTAATGGTTATCAAGTTAGATTTGAAAACGTTTGTTGGGTATTTTTCGACATTTCGTGGCCTCTCCTAAGTGTGCACAAGTTATGAGTCAACCTGTGTTTAAAACGTGAACTGACAAAATGAATGTGTTGTGCTAGGCCTATATCTAATTCAGTAATTGTACTACTGCAGTTGTCGTGCACGGTAAATTGAGGAATATAATCCACGACAGACTTGGATTTGTCTTCTATTGTTAGAGTTCAGCAGTTGGACAGAATATATCTACATAATAATGGGTAGAACTGCTTGTTTTTTTATAGACCTACAAATTGTACTTGAGTATTTATATTATTATTTTATATAATGAAGTAATTAACTGCTATAGTAATTAGTATTACTAATAGTAGTATCACTTTAAGTAGTATAGCATAACACGAATAAAACATTTAAAAAAAATCCTTAAAAGTTACACAATAAATGTTACATTTCTTACTGTTTAATGAAATATCTATATATTTATAACTTATATGCATAAAAAACTTTTTAACTTGAAAAAAATGCTTACAGTTTTCAGTTAATTGTTTGTAGCAAATGATATGTAAATAGTGTAAGAAAGTTTGAGATACAAAGTTGTCAAATTTTAGTGAAAGTGAAAGTGTGGGCATTGATATACTGAGAATTTTGAATCTCAGGGCAAAGATGTTATGATTTTATAACAAATGACCATTAACAGCTTTTATGAAACAATTATATTTTGGTTATTTAAAACGTTTTGTGATATATGCATGTACCCATGATTTTTATCTTTATTTTTTTTCTCTTCTAAATTGCGATGATGTCATGAATTGTTTACGTGTGCATCGTGGATCTTGGTTACTTGTGTTGAACTTGAAGCAGGGTAAACATATATATACAATATCTTTTCACAGTTCAGTATCTGCAAACTATATGTATGATAACATCAAATATTTGAATGTTTGTTATACATATGTTTCAATGAAAAAAATTCATAAATACCTGCAGTCAAATAAATAATCAGTTTGAGTTTCTTTGCTTGTTTATTAAACACAAAGCTGCACAATGGGATGTATGTGTTCTACCTACCACAAGGATTGACCTCAGAATTTTTGCTTTATAAGCCCACAAGCTTACTGTTAAACCACAAGAGGGTGTTGTAAAAATATCTATATAGGTGAATAATAACACACTTAAAATATAAAAAATAATTTTTTTCATAGTATTTTATACAAATTACTGTGTCAAAGTTATTGTTAAAACTTACAGTTTTCATAATGTATAACATTCTATAGAATACACACACACACACACATTTTTTTTTACCCTAATTATTTTGTTCATGGGGTGAACACTCTTGTATATCTTCTTCAATATCAATGTGTGGTAGATGAAAACCTCGCTTCTTGAAAATTCTTTTCTGAGTTCTATGTTTATTTTGAAATATCTTCAGATTGAGATGACTTACATAAAAGTTATTTGTATTAACATCCCCCAGTTAGACAGTGGTAAGCATATGAACTTAAAGCACTGAAACAGATTTCCACCCAAGATTGGATTCACAGCAGGAGGTTCTAACAGGTTCTAACATATTATGAAGTAAACCTGAATTCTCTGAACCTGACTGAGTTTGAGAGAGACTGGAAACAATGTAGAACACAATGAAACAATCTTTATTCAAAAAACAATAATCAAAGTAATATGTGTATCTTTCAATGGAGGACAGCACTTCTACTGGAGAGAGAGAGCTGTACTTAATAAGTTTGTTGTTGTTGTTTTATGTTGAAGTTGTTACAGACTGAGAAAACATGAAACAACAATGCTATATTCTTTCAGGGTAGTTGCACTACACACATGACTGTTGGTCATTCCCATTGAAACATAAGAAAGGTTATAATCTTGAACTGTCACCTGACCTGCCAGTGGAAAAGGTCATTGTTTGCCTTTGTATGGGAAGATAAAGTGATATCTTAGGTGAATGACATATGACAACAGGTAATTTGGGTGAAAGGAACTTGATGATTTTCTTCACCAACATTCTAGTTAAAACTGCATACACCTGAATAAATGCACATTTTGCAAAATTTTTATATTAACACAAGGAGTTAACAAAAATGGTACAAACACATGCCACATTCACATTCTTCACAAAATTTAAACCTATGTAAGGTAATTTCAATGAATAATAGAATGTGACTAGAGGCTTTTATTATTTGACTTACGTTGTTAGCACTTGCAACAAAGATATATTGGCTAGAAGAGCTTGGGAGGAGATACCATCGTGATTGTTGGAGAGAGAGAGAGAGTCAGATAATAAATGTTTATGCATGAGTATAATGTTATTTATGATCTCATTTGAATTTTTAAACTGTTTCTATGATGAAGGGTTATAATTTAAAAAAATATTTTTAATAGGTCTTCAATGAAACTATGATCTCTGAAGCATTTTTGTAAAGAATTTGACATTTATACTTCCTAATTCTTAATGTTTGATTCCAGGTTGTAGAGGATGTTTGACCACAGTTCCTTACGCCACCCTCATTGCGACAGTGTTGTGCTTCGCAGGATCAGGAGTCTTCTTAGGATCAATGTATAAAGGTGTTGCTCTGACCCTGCGAATGTTTGAAGATGTATTTCAGATTCAGTTCCACATGTAAGTAAAATTTATGTATATTAAAACAACATTGGAATAACTGGGATGTTTCCAGGAGGGGGTTATTTATGAAATCAATAACACATATAGGACTGAGTTAGTCATGGGTCAGTAGCAAACAAAAGAGGTATAGAATATAAAATTATAGCACCAGATTTAGCAGTTTTTGCAACCTGGATTTAATTTTTTATGACCTGTGATGTGGCCAGCATCAAATGTGTGTGGATGCTTACATGCGAAGCCCTGGTGGAACAAGTTGTTATAACCAGAGATATATTGACATAAAATTTGAATGAACGAATGGGAAGACATTAGTTTTATATTTCTTTGTATTTTATGTTTGTACATATATCTTAAAAAAAAACTGGGAAAATGATATGGATGCTTGAGCATACATTGTAGGTATGTCACTGATGACCATCAAAATACGGTTGAGATTCCAAAGGGGAGTCATTCACACCAGACAATTCCCCCTGGTGTTGCTCACAAACAAAATATCTTCTGAAACTAATTAGTTTTAATAAAGCCGGCTTGTATTTTGTATACAAGTACTTTTACATTTATTTTAGTAATTCACAGTACTTGTATTTCTAGTCTTGATGCCTTTTTAGACTATGTTTATTTTAACTTCGGCATTTGTATTTATTTCCTTTTTCCTTATTTTTGGAAGAGGGTGTTTTTAAATATCACATGATAAGCATGTGGTTTGTTGATTGGAATATTTTTGAAAGTGTATTAAATGATTTAACTGACAACACGAGTTAAACTAATCATTTGAATATTGATTTGTGAATCTGTTAAAGAAGTTGATATGATTATTGAGTTAACAAGTTTGTTAGTCAAAGGAATGCTTCTCTACAGATATAGTCAGCAGTAACAATACTAGAAAATCAGTAGTGATGGTTGAAGGAATACTTCTCTACAGGTATAGTCGATTTTCTAGTATTGTTACTGCTAATAGTGATGGTTGAAGGAATACTTCACTACGGATGTAGTCAGCAGTAACAATACTAGAAAATCAATAGCAATTGTTATGGTGAGAAAGACAAATATATCGTTAAAAATAGGGCTACCCAACTGATAAAATAATACTTTCTAATTTTTATAAATAAGAATTGTATAATTAAGTAACAGTAATTGACAAAAATTTCTATGTTGTCGTGTTTCAGGTTGACTGACCTTCGGATCATATTTGTTGTGATTGGAGGAATAATGGGAATCCTCAGTGTGCTCTTGTTAATTGTTGGATTTTCAGCAACAGGGGCAATTAGGGAAAAAGTTTACTGGGGATGGAAAGCCAGAATGGGAGGGCAGATATCTTGTGCCCTGGTAAGAAGTGTAGACTAGTAATATTTATTTTTTTTAAAAACAAAAATTGACCTAGTACTTAAAAAAATGTGTAGTTAATACTCATTGAATTTACAGTTGGTTATTTTTGGGTTTTATGTTGTTAAATATTTTAAAGTATTTAATTTTATAGAACTTATTATAAAGAGTTTTTGTTTTGTTGAAGTTCCTGTGTGCTCAAACTGTAGATTGCAAGTTTTAATGTTTGCAATGTACTTTGAAAAATAACTTATCTTCCCTTAGGAAATGTACATAAATAACTGTTATTTTTGTGATGTTATTAATAAATCACTATAATCTTATTCAGAGGAAAACTGTCAGTGTAAGACATAGAACAAACAAGCCTTATTACCATATGTTTAACTCAAGAATGGCTTAATGTACCAAGTATATAAAAACTGAAACTTCAAGGTACATTACTTATCGTTACAGTTTCTCGTATTAACATACCTACAGTATGAATGTTATCGTTACAGTTTCTCGTATTAACACACCTACAGTATGAATGTTATCATTATAGTTACTGGTATTAACACACCTACAGTATGAATGTTATCATTATAGTTACTGGTATTAACACACCTACAGTATGAATGTTATCGTTACAGTTACTGGTATTAACACACCTACAGTATGAATGTTATCGTTATAGTTACTGGTATTAACACACCTACAGTATGAATGTTATCGTTATAGTTACTGGTATTAACACACCTAC